ATTAAATTCTTCTGTATCTGTCAATTCCTTTCGATACAATGACTCAGTATATTCCTTCCATCTTCTTTTGATACCTCCCGGATCATTTAACATTCTGCCTAAAGCATCTTTGATTATAGCAACTCCTGCAACCCTATGTATAATACTTTGAAACCCAGCCCTGTGCTGCACCATTGCTGTAGCCACTGTGTCGATCCGTGCCTTGTCTTAGTTATCTACTGCTGCAACCAAAACCTAACAGAAATCTCACGAGGTGATTTGTCCCACAGTGAGTAGTTTTATCCCCCACAGTTTGTTGTTGTTGCGACTCCTTGCAGCCCCTTAGCCAGCAGATTGAAACCCTGTGCTACCCTGCAAATTCCTCCTGGTCTCCATCCATCATGCCCGAGCGAGCTCGTCGTTAAAGTCGCTCTGCCAATCCATCCCAAGGATTTTTCTTTCTCTGCTGACCTTTCCCAGCATGATGTCTTTTTCCCAAAGACTGGCCCCTCCTGACCACACGCTCAGCGGATGTGAGATGAAGTTTCCCATCCTTGCCTGTAAGGAGAAGCTTGGTGGCACTTCTCCAAGGCAGACTCATTGGTTCTTTTGGCCTTTCATGGAATATTCGATACTCTTCACCAACACCACAGCTTACAGGCATCAGTTCTTCAGTCTTCCTTACTCATCGTCCAACAATTACAAGTTAAGAGCTGGTAGTCTGAATCCAGGGCACCAGCGCTTGAGGAAGGCTCTACCTCTCTGGGAGCTCAGGGAGCAGGCCCTGGTCACTAAGGTCACTGGAGGTCTAGAAGGTTCTCAGCACACACTCCACTCCCAGCTCTTCTTTCTTGCTGGTGAGAAGTCTCTTCTCTCTTTCTACTCACCTGTTTGTTGTTGTTATTGTCGTTGTTAAGTGCTGTCGAGTCATAGTGACCCTATGAATAAAAGTCTTGAACACGAAAAACTTTCATCTTTTCAAAGTTCATAGTTTCCCCTGTTTGTTTTTTTTTTCAATTTTTTATTTTATTTCATTATTTTTTGAGTGTGCCATCAAATCAGATTTGACTGGTACAGGAGGAGATTGTTCCTCCTTCTCCAGCAGAGCATCTGGTGGATTCGAACCATGTACCTCTGAGATTGCAGTGCAGCTTCTTGCCACTAGGCCACCAGAGCTCGCCAGTTTCCCCTGTTTAATCTCTTTTAAATCTTGGAGGAGATGGACTCACATACAATCCAGATTAGATTATATACTGCCTCATAAACATAACTGCCTCTAATCCAACCTCATTCACACCACAGAGGCAAAGACTGACAACATGCAGGATAATCACATCTGATCCGAGAACGGAGCCTAATGGCTTGATACTGAGAATCAGGGCCCAGTCGAGTTGACACATGTTTGAGGGAGACAGGCAGTAAGCCTGCTGAATCTTCTCCCTACATGACTGGGGTGTAGGCAGGCTTGCTCTTTGATCCAGACAAGGATGTTTGTGTTCGTTCTCTCTCTTGCTTTCTCTCGCCACAAATACCCTTGAGAAACAGCTCCCATCTGAGGCAGGGTGATGTAGTGGGTTCAACATTGGACTCCTACCCAAGAGGTCCATGGTTTGAACCCACCAGCAGCTCATTAGGAGAAAGATGTGTCCGTCTGCTTCCATAAATATTTACTGCCTTGGAAACCTTACAGATCAGCTCTTCTCTGCCCTCGGGGTTCTCTTTGAGTCAGAATCAATTACTCAGTGGGGTGACATCTGGAATGGAGGTGCAAACTCTCAGCAGCTGGAATGAACTGGTTCCAAACCCCGGTGGTCCAGAGTCTCATCCTGCAGTGTAAGGTCCAGTCATCAGCACGCACTGCTTCTAATTGTCACATATCTCTGCCTCCTTTAAGCTGAGACAGGTCCAGCTTTCCTAGTGTTTCCTGGTGTTTAAAGACACTGGACATTTTTGAAGAATGCTGTCACTTTTTTCCCCTTTTCTTTTCATCTTGAGTAGATTGCCCCTTGTCTGGGGACCCTCAGCAACTCTCTTCTCAATGGGTTCAGGTTTGCACTAGACGAATGGCATGAACAACGTATGCTTTCCTCCGTCCATTCCTCTGGCTTTATAATTACTGTGTGATAACTGTGGGAGGGTTTCTGATTAGATCGATAGTGAAAGCTCAGTAGTTCAGTCTGCTCCCAGAAAGCTTGATAGCCCTGGGACCGGAGGAGGTTTGCCAGCAGTCAGAAAATGACTAGGCAGCGGCGGATTAGCTTAAAAAACAAACAAACAAAACAAAAAAACTAAGTGACCCAGAAAACAATTAAGAAAGATCACCCTTGTGTAATCATTGACATGTTGGTACCCGAATGTAGAGATAACATTTTATACAGCGAGGGTCATATTATGAAACCAAATCAGCTGTCACCAGGTAGATTCTGACTCAGGTTGGCCCTGGAGGACAGAGCAGACCTGCCCCGTAGAGTCCAGGGCTGTGAATCTCTAGGGAAGCACAAGGTCACATCTTCCTCTTGTAGAGCAGCTGATGGATTCAAACCACCGACCTTTCTGATAGAAAACGATTGGTTTAATCACTATGCCAGTCGACTCCTGATCATATTACACACGTTATTATATATGTAACGAGCTCTGGTGGCGCAGTGTTCTGACTACTAATGGAAAGATCGTGAATGGTTCAAACGCACCAGCAGCTCCAAGGAGAAAGATGGGCGGCCCCTTTCATCACAGTTGACAGCCCCAGAAACCCAATAGCGAGCTGTTCTGGGTTGGAAACAACTCAGCTACAGTGAGTTTGGATTTTGGCTTGTACAATTTAAAAAAAAAATCATATTATATCCATAGGGATGTACCCCCCGCCCCAATGAATGCTTTTGGCAAATTTACTCACATGCACACTCAAGAGTCTTGGTGGTGCCATGGGTGAGGTGTTGGACTTCTAACCAAAAAGTCAGTGGTTTGAGCCCACGAGACACTGTGTGATAGAAGGATGAGGCAGTCTGCTTCCGTTAAGAGAACAGCTTTAGAAGGCCTCCAGCGCCTGCAGTTCCTGTGCTCATTGGGGCTGTCGTGAGTTGGGGTGGCCTGAGGGCAGTGGGTTTGGGGTTTGGTACTCACACAGGTTTTCTTCCATCATCATCTGCTTCGCAGAAGCAGGGTCATTGCAGCATCTCCCTAACAGCAGGGCATCTGGAACGTGATCCAGGTCTCAAGGTGGGTGTCTGTTTACCACATACTTGATGACCAGGTTAATAGGAACCGCAGTATCCGAGTGTGAGAAAGTCTTTGACACCTACATCTGTGCTGATGAC